TGATTTCTGTACATGTTACAAAGATTTTTTTTCCAGGTGGAATGTGTATTTTTCTCTTTTTCTTTTTTACATCAGCTTTGTTTTTACCTCTCAAAGCAATCACCATTCCCAGATGAGAGTGATTAACATGTGCATATTCCTAGTAGGTATTATCAGTGCTAGTAGTTCTGTGATACCGGTTAATTAACATTATATAAGTAAAGTTATACTTATTAAGAGTCAAGATAACAATGATATTAAGTTCTAACTTTCTTCTCTAGTTCTTTGGCCAATAACCATCTTAAAGCTCTGCCAAGGGATGTCTTCAGTGACTTAGATTCTTTAATTGAACTGTAAGTAATGAAAATCTTTCTGTTTACTTCCAGTTATTGTGACTCTATTACTCAGAGTTATAAATTCTCTTTTTTGTGTGGTGCTGTATCTGATATCCACACCAAAAATAAATGTGCATTTTGTTATTCTTTTTTTTTTCATTTTAAAGTTATTTACTTGGTAGACTCTCCTAAAATAACTGCTGTTTCTTAAATCACTATTATTTTTCATGGTATTACACACAGTTTGCATTATTGTGCTTTTTCTGATCTTACACATCCATTTTTTTTTTTAGCAAAAGAGAGAGTAAATTTTAGGATTGCAATTTCTCCTACCATTTTTTCCTGTTATTTTTGAAGTATTTCCTGAGACTATTTTAGGAAAAGTCATGAATATATTTTTATATATATATATGTATATATATATATATATTTCTTTTTGTACAGTATAAGTCAGCAGTTGCTGACGTGCTGTCAGCGTTTTCTTGTACAACTGAGCAGCTAGTCAGCTTCCCCTATTTTTGGCCTGGCTCCCCGAAATAGCAAAGTATGATTGTAAGCCGCAAGGATTGTCAAGGGATTGAAGAGCAGGGATAGTACTGAAATCTTCCATAACTTGGTGGAAGGATTTTACACTGACTAGACTTCCCACTAGCAGTGACTCATTAAAAATATAAGCCCCCCATTATTATTTCAAATATCCCTGTATTTTAATGCAGCACTGAAATTGTGCTGGCGAGCCTGCTCTGTCAGTGCATGCTGCTGGAGTGGTTTACTGCAGCAGTGGGATTTATCTCTGTCATCAGCAGACGATGGGAGGCAGACTTGCAGCAGACAACCGCACTGTGAGCATTTATTATGTTGCAGTCCTAAACCTTTGAAAACTTACAGATATATGTGACTTTACACATGAATCACAGTTCTCCATGCTTAAGATTATACATAGGCATATTTCCCAGCTTGAAACAGTTTTCCAAGGACAACACTTGAGTGGAGAAGGTATGTACGTACTAAGAGAGTCAGACTCAAATATGAAATCTTTCCTGTTCTCTACTCAAAAATACTTTACATATTTTTAAATTCAGTATGTCAAGGTGCTAACAGTTATGTAGTATTCATATTGTTATCAACCTTTTCAAATATGTTTATTTCTGTGTTTTTTAGAGATTTAAGGGGAAATAAATTCGAGTGTGACTGCAAAGCCAAATGGCTGTTTTTGTGGTTAAAGATGACAAATTCCACTGTTTCTGATGTCCTGTGTATTGGTCCAGCAGAATATCAGGATAAGAAGTTAAATGATGTGGCAAGTTTTGATTATGAATGCACCACTACAGGTATTAAGAATATGTATTTCTAAGTACACTGAATATAGTTAAATATCAGAAGTTTTGTCTATATCTATTTTGCTTCTAGAAGCATGATCTTGAGGGAGGGAAGGGGTGAAAGGTTTATATATACAAAGAACTTTGAAACAGCAGAACAGGCATCAAGTGAGAAAATTACATTTTAAAGCCAAAGCAAGTAGAGTTTTTATTTGGACTGAGTAATAATGGGAGAAGAGCTCTGACTGTTCCTATTCCAAAAGGCTTGATTATGACTCACTTTGTGTCTTAATTTTCCTCACAGAATGTTTTGTATGGTCTGGAATAAAGTCATGTAGTTATGTCGGATGAGCTTCCCCAGATCTCTGTATTTCACAAACAGCAATGAAAAGAAGTTCAGATAATGGGGCTATATCAGCTATCTCTATTCAGGAGGGCAGAATTTAATAGCATCGAATGTGGCAGGAATACTGCCAGCACTTCTTTATGGAACTCCATTACACCGGAGAGAAATTTCGAGTAATATTCCAACTAGTGACTTGCTTAGTGTCTTGATTGCTATTTTAGGTAATGTAAAGCATGCTGAAGGGGAAGGAGAAAAACTTGCATGTGTTTATGCTTTAATTTTATGACCAAATATAACAGCCGTTACCTATATTTAAATGTAGCTATATCACAGAACTGAGAATATCAGCTGCTATAGTACTGTTTTTCACATATCTGATGAGAACACATTGCCTTTATATTCCATACAGTAATATCAGAGACATTCAAATTCTCATCTGTCATCAAGTCAGTCATCAAGAATGAGATAAATAACAGAAAAGTTGATTATTAGTTTTGCAAGGTAAAGTTTTAAGACAAGATGTAAAAGGTAATCCAAGGGCAATACATGAAAGGGGAAGAAAAAGAAATCGGAATTCAAAAACATGTTAAAAAATCAGCAGAGGTAAAGGGTGGTAATCTGCTTCCTAGAAGGATACCAAATAACAGATAGCGTCCTAACTTGGAACTCAGCTATGAGCTATGCTGAGGTTACATTACTGTACCTGCAAAAGCAGCAAGTAAAAGTGAACTTTATTTTATTTCAGTCTGATTTAAGAAGTTACACTGTACTAACTGAGTGCAACAATAAACCTTATTTACCTGATCCTCAGCGCTCTGCTGACCTAGGGTCCCTCTGTCCCACCTTCCTGTCTGCAGAGGTAATTATAAAGTTGCTGCGGGCAAAAGTCACCCTTAATGTCACTCCCTTGCCCTGCTTGAAGTCAAGTTTTTCCAAGGGTAAATCCAAGTGCACACTCTGTAGCCTTTGCTTGGAAAGTCAGGTGTAGTATGGTTCTCCCCTGCCCTTACCCTATATTTACCATATGGCCTCTCCCAAGCATTAAAGCAGGGTTGGTGGGCCTATGTGTAGATCGAGCACCAGAGCCCAAAGCTGATGGCCAGCCTGGTGTGGCAGCAGCTCTGCTGTGCAGCTCTGGGCTGTGCTAGAGTCTGGAAGTCCCCACTGGAGCTACAAGTCGCCTTGACTGTTTTTCAAGGGCTGCTGCTGTTAGGCACCCTCACATATGTGGGGATGTAATGAGCCCAGTGACAGGCATGAGTGAAAAGAGCTCCATGGAACGTGGCCTCCTTTCCAGAGGAGCCGTGCATTGAAATGTGCACTCCGGCTTGCTTTAGTACACAAATGCCATACACGTGCCCCCAAAGTGGTGCAGAACTGCTCAGAGGTTCAAAAAGAAAGATGTTTCTTTCAGTGTTGGATCTGGGTTAGGCTTGGTGTTTTTTTTTTTTCCCTCAATATTATTTTTCTCAATATTTTAAATGTATTTAGGTTTTCTGTGACTGGATCTGTTATCGTTGCATCCTTAGTCACATTTTATGATTTATCACTTACTTTCTGCCTGTCCTGGTGTTAGTTCTCTCCAATCCTGCTATTTTCCCAGTGAGAATGAAGATAAATTCCTTGTTTTCATGCTGGCATTTCCAAATCAAGCCCTTGGTCTATTTATAGTAATCGCCCAAAGAAGGGAGTCTGTCATTTCTGTTCCAGCTGTGGTGTCTGCTGTATTTGCTCAGTTGTAGTGGTCTATCTTTACTCTCCAGAAGTCTGTCTCCTCAAGGGCAGCACTTTCAAGCTTGTGTAGGCATCAGGTTCCTCATTTGAAAGCAATTATTTTATAACGGACCAAAATGAAGGATCAGAGTGAGGATTTAATTAACATTTCACCAAAATTCCTGAATGCTCAGGCCCTTCCGAAGTAGGAGTGAATAGTGAAGCATGCAGCAAATGGAGCTGAATACAGAGGCATGCCTGGTTCTACAAAGAAGTTTCATCTTAGTGGAAGTCTCATTCATTTTCTGTACAGCTATATTTACATATAACTTCAGATTTTCTGCCATGTTCTAGATCAAAGCATGTTATAAATGTTGTTTTTCCTGTGTCAGCTCTGCTGTGTTGATTTTTTTTTATTTATTTATTTTTAACTGAAAATCAATGACCTTGCCCAGATATCAAGTCCAAATACCAAATTCAGGTTCAAGTTTCCCCATTTTGCCCCAAACAGGCTGTAAGCTGACTACTGACTTAGCACAAGGCGAGTTTTAGAATTAAGTTTAAAAAGACGCTTGGTTTTTGAGAAGGAATCTTAACACTTGGGAGTTAGGTTCTTAATCTTAATGGATTGCTTCAAGTCCTTGGTCTTAGAATCTCAGACACATTTTCCACCAGATAGTAACTTGCAGGTTGGTCATATTTTATGCTTAAACTACTTAACAGTGTCCCATAAAATGCTGTGTTAACTGAGTTTTTGATTACACTGCTTTGTCTATGGTCTAGCCAAAATGGGGTTGTCCCCAGGCAAACTTCAGATATAATTTCACTTTCTGCCTGGTTTAGCGTAACACAAATTGCGAGTGATTAAATTTGCATGTCTTTAACAAGTTATTGGACTTGCGCTGGAAGTTGTTGCCTCTCAGCTTGAAAGTGATTTTAGTGAGACCATTTCACTTGACAGGAAAGCAACTTCCAGCTGAGGGGAAAGAGGCTTCTATCTCGATGACATGTGACTGTGTGAATGTATCTTGAATTCACTGGTATCAGCTAAAGCAGGTGCAAAATTGGAGTGGCACTATTGGCCACTATTTTCTGCTTGGAAAATGTTCGTCCAGAGCACAATCTATGATGCCTGAAGCAGGAGACTTTCTTCCCTGATGGCTGCATGCCTGACACGTGAGCACTGGCAATTCCATGTTATACACAACCCAGACTGTTCCATTGAAAACATTTTCAGTGTTAATGGTTGTACTCAGCAATCACTTGTTCTGTGTTCCCAGCCAGGATGTATCCTAACTGGTATCAATGTACGTTTCTAGATTTTGTTGTTCACCAGGTTTTGCCCTACCACTCAGTGTCCGTGGATACATTCAACTCTAAGAACGATGTGTTCGTAGCCATTGCACAGCCCAGCATGGAGAACTGCATGGTCCTCGAGTGGGATCACATTGAAATGAATTTCAGGAGTTATGACAATATCACAGGTATATGAACACTGGGATTCCAGTGACTGGCATTTCACAAGGAGGAATCATGCAGAGGAAATTCATAGGTGGGAACCAGTTAATCCTTCTGTCTGAAATGAGCAGTTCAAAGTGCATAAGGTTTGAACAAGATTGATTTTATGGAGTAGTGCATCTTTGTAATACCCGTGCTCTTACCCTCACTGTAGCACACAAGCTAGTGCAAGCTGGTTTTTTTTCTTGTCTGTGTGAGAGTGTTGGTCTTGCCGACAGGTCCAGAGGCACATACACTTGCTGCGCATGTCACGCTGGCCCAACTTAGACACTGCCTATGTTATGCTATAGGTTAAAGTACCTGTTAAAGAAACGCTTCATGTTGCCCAAGTTTTTGCCACCTTCAAAACCAAATGTAACAATAATCTCCTGTGTGTAGAAAGAATACAGAGAATACATCTAGGGTGGGCAGGTCAATAAAGCTTGTCCCACAGCTGAAATGTTAAAGCTGTGACTGTTACCTAAGTAGGTGTACTATAAAGCTTCCAGGTTTACCTTCCATTTACAAAAGTGCTAAATTTACATCCTGGCTACATCCCTCACCAAGCAGTTGTCCATGTGGATACCAGGTGGTTTTCTAATGCTGTGAACTGTTCTGTCCCAAGCTCACATTCATGGTGCTGTGCAAAGCTCAGTCAGTCAGGACTGTGTACAGGCAGAAGGGACAGTCTCTAGAGCTATTACACACTGTCAGGCTTCCCAGCCACTTCAAGCTATTAGTTCTGAAGACTTTGGAGCTAAATTTATCCATGAAGCATCCTTTCCTCCTGTTCCTTCTTACGTATGATGGATTACTTCTTGCCTTGCAGTCTTGGTGACAAAGAGCATGTTGTGTCTTCAGCAGGTGCTCTGGGGAGTTTACAGAGCCAACCAGCAGCTACTTCCTCAGATTAGCTTTGTGTCACTACTGAAAGTTTTGAAAGGTGCTGCCTCCCTATCAGCCGATTTTGGAAATGGAAAAATTTGCATTTTACGTTCCATTATGTGTCGGTAGATTAGGGGAAAACATGCTGGTGGATATAAAGAAATGAACTGAAGAGAACCAGCAGAAGACTCTAGAAGCTCTGGAAATGATTTGAGAGCTAAAGTCATTGGCAAAATTGGGCAAGACAGCTGGTGAAATAGTTCATTTGTGTGAGTTTGTCTTCCAGACATGTTTCACCTTCATCTGAATGGCACGATTAGGAGACAGTTCCCCTCAGGACTTGTGTCTGCTCTTTTGCACACCCAGCAAGTGCGCCAAGACTCATTTCTCAAATGACATACCTGGGTTTTTGGAAGGCCAGAGCCTAAGCTCTGGACTCCACATAAAAATGAGCTAGAGACTTCTGTCAGAGTGCACAAAGGTGAGAGCCTCTGCAGAGCCCGAAGAGCATTTTGGAGAGCTCAGGATCCAGCTACACACTCCGTGGAGAGTTGTATTAGTAACTATGTGTTTGTCATTCACATGTCCAAATTTTGCTCTTTACAGCATGAAGAAATGGACCTGAACTATTTGTCAAGATGGCCTTTTTAGTCAATACACAGAGAAACAGGCATTCTTGCCCTCTCTCTGCAATAGGTCAGATTAATTCTTTTCTAGAAGCTGTTTTTTTTTAAAAAAAAAAAAAAAAAATAGATTAGGCCAGAAGGAGCTTAGATGGTCAGACTCCAGTACGGATGTCTACGCGGTGGATACCTAATGGTATTCCAGATAAATTTAATCTCCCTTACCGTACTAGCTCTGAAAGGAGAAATCATCACAGGTCAGAGCTGAAACAGCCATGTAGGCTGCCTGAAAGCCAGTGCAAGTCTCCCGAAATGACATGGCCAGAGCAAGTGTAGAAGAGTTTGTGTGGATACACAACTCTCTATTGTATATCTGAACTTCTATATCAACTACATGTTTGCGAGAGTAATTCTTCTTTTATTGCCATTGGTGCTTTCATAAATAGCCTGATTATTACCCTTTTAGATGGGGATCTTGTATAGTGACTTGGTGCTTATCAAAACGGACCTTAACCTGATCTGATCTAGTTTGGCAACTGCGTTGTTCCTGAATATTTTGAGTTGAAAATAAATCTGGAATTTCAGGAATACTTGGAAAACTTTAACAGAAGTTAAACTTAACAAAGTTAAGTTTATCTGTTCATCTTGCTGTCAGTTGGTATCCTTTGGATACACCATTTGAAATAATGAAAATGAGGGTCTGCCTTCTTAGAGCAAAAAAAAAACAAGTGGAAACACAGGT